TATGTGAAGCAGAAAATCTGCTTCATTATGACGGGAATTTATGTAAATCGAGGCTCTGCCAGCTCCATGGAGGTCTTCCTGCACTACAACTTCTTTAGTATAAATATAATCTAGAAAATGGCCTTTATGAATACTCTACAGTTTCTCTCTACTTCATTGTGATAGAAATTGATGTCAAGGGAAATGAAAATAAGGACAGACAGGCTGTCTTTTTTTAACCACATATGAGTAGTATATAACCTGTTACAGAGTCAAAACTTAATATATGTTGATGAATGAATGATCTAGGAACAACTATAATGGTATATAAAAACAGTGATATACATGTAGCCTATGGGTGGCTCCAAGGCCACCAGGTTGGTTTTCTCTACTGGTGTTATTCCTGGTGACCAAACCCAGTGGAAAGTTTATAAGTTTTCTTTTTTTAGGTGCTCCAGGATCTTTCCAACGTAGCTCATTTACACCAATGTGCCTGAAAGCCAAAGAGCAAAGTCCAGTGGCCCAACCGGGAGCGACCTGGCTCAATCCTAAACAGAACGTAGGTCTGGCCCAAATGTGCCCAGCATGTGCAGTCGAAGGACTGTAGAAGCAGATTTGATGCTGCACTGCTCTGCTCCTAGCACGACTCTGTGGCTGGGCTGGGGCTGTATTCACTAAACTGGAAATAGGTGACTGGTGACTGGCGGCTCCCAGTTTACAGACTTGGGATCATTGGAGTATGTAGGGGAAGTTTCATACTAGATTTCACATTTAATAAAAGCCAAATTAAAAATCATTTGACCAGGGGCCAGAAACAATCCTTAGAGTCTTTGACAATGTTTTAAAAAACAGTGTAAGTCTCCCAGAAAGTGACTACACTTCTCCACCGACTGAGGGCCAACTGGTGGGGGAGGTGTGTCATTAATGTGTAACATGAGTGGTTTTGTGAATTAGGAATCTGGAGTCTGATTCCTCCCTGCCAGAATAAATTATTTTCCCCCTGTGTATGCTCTTGCATTAGGAAAAAAAAAGTAGAGAGAGAGAAAAAGATAGATACCTCTTGACTTATAAATTTGTATTCTATTTAACCAAGAAATTCAATTTTTTATAAATATATTATGAGAAGAAAATAGGCATGTAACTTGAAGGATGTTTATCATACTCTGATCTATAATAGCAATGAATAAATATATAAGGAACAACCTCAATGTCCATCAATTAGAGGATTAGAAAAATACATTAAAGAGCATATCCATTCAAAGGAATTTGGGTGGTGAATAAGTAGAACCATGTAGAAGAATACTAAATGACCCGGAAGAGATTTATAATGCAATTTAAGTCAATAAAGCATGTTTCAAAAACATAATTAAATATAATTCCAGGTCTTAAGTATTTGCATAAATTTGTGCAAAGTGCTAATTGGAGCTATGTCTGGGTAGAGAGATTCATCTATAAACGAAGTAACTGAGGTTCAGCAGTTTAAATGATTTTTTAAAATTCACATGGCAAGAAAGTGTAGAACGAAGTTTCAAACCTAAGTATAAACACATCAAACTCCCAGGCCTAGGCTCTTTATACCACATTTTATTGCTTATACCCAATCTGCATACGTCCGTATTAACCAGAGACTCCATAACGGACTTAGATAAAGACTTTAATTCTATTTAACCAAAAAGAACATTCTAAAAGACCCAAGTATTGCATATTCCTCATTTTTAATACTTCAAGTAAGCTGGAGGATTTATATTTGTTCCTATCAGCCTTTAAACCACTGAGTTATAGAGTGAAATACAGATTTGATCCCAAAAGATCCACTGATTTCACAGCCAACCCAGACTTTCTGTTAAAACTCTCTTACAGAGTCTCCACAACTTCTCCTGGTCACTTGTCGAAGTTTCCAGAGCATCACTAAAGAGCTTAAGGCACCAGCACCAGGACAGAGGGGCTGGAACAGCCAATGAGGCCATCAGATCTTTTCTACTGCTACTTTTAGAGCCTCTGTAGATAAATGCTTTCATTGAGACAGGGTAAAAATATTTCCCAAAAGAGGTTAGATTTCAGTGAACTTCTGGGAGTTCAACATTTACGTTACCTAATATTCATTTCTACTTTTCTATCCCAGAGCCAGGCTGATTTAATTTTCACTTCACACAAACTAAAGAGAGGAGGAGAGTCATGCAGCCGGCACTTTTATGGGTCTTGACTGACATGTGGCCCAGGGCCCCTCCCACCCTGGTTTTCTCTTGTCTCGTCTCTGTTTCTCTTTATGGTGCGTGTGGCAGACAGATGTGGCGATATTTTAACAGCTGGAGAAATGGTGTCAGATTTGATGATTGAAAGCAAGAGAACAATTTTCACAATTAATAAAGCATAAGAACTTGGTCGAAAGGGAATAAGGTCAACTTGTAAGAATAACATTGAAAGGCATGAGAGGACATTTAGTAACCCTTGAGAGACAGACCTTAAGAAGACTTCTCTGACAGCAAGAAAAATAAAGAAACAAAAGAGTAAATAACAGGAAATGAGATTTCTTGAGACAATGAGCCAAGGTGAAGGCATTACACTAGTGTGAGTGATTCCTATTCCAACCGTTCGGGGTGTAATAGAAAGAAGAAGAGTAATCTATAAAGAGAGATGGATTTAAAGGAAAAAAAAAGAAAATTGCTTCCAGTCCTGGCTCTAGCACGCAACAAGTAATAAATTGATGAAGTGACTGCACCTTACTGTTCCTTGATTTGTTCATGTGTGAAAAAGAAGCGACACCTTCCTGACTGCCTCCCAGCACTGTCATGTGTGTAAACAACAACAACGACAAAACCTACAAATAAACGCACAGACAGGAGTGGATGCCCATGGAAGATTAACAATGCATTGCAACCCTTAGGTATCTATTATAATTATTCTCTAAAGTGCTGGCAAGGGTTTATCAGTCTGGGTGTTGGGAAAAGCAGTGATGGCATTTTTATGACCCAAGTTACAAAAACAGTAGGCTGGAACATGTAAATCAACTTCCTAAAATAGGCACAAACTGGACTCAGACTGGACAGGAGCATATCATCAGGTGGCAAGGTTTATTTACCTTCCATCAGTTGGGAGAGTATCAAGGGGCAGGGTGGATCAGTGGAAATAGAACTGGGGAACAAAATAAATTTGGGACCAGTGCCGGCTCCTTCACTAACCATGTGACTCTGGGAAAATAACATTCCTTCCCTCTGCCTTCAGGTTTCTTAACCGAAAAATGGGTAAAATAATGGGTATAATAATACCTCTCTAGCAAGGTAAGTATATGGATTAAATTAAACCGGATAATACTATGAAGTGCCCAGTGTAGAGCCTGGTATGCAGGTGGTACTCAATAAACGTGAGTTGTTATTATCGCATTTTCTCAGTTCCTTTCATAGCCTACACATCCATTTGTCTGCTCTCCCTCTTCCATTTCTTTCCTGGGTACTGTCAGTCTTATAGCCTGTATCTACCAGAGCCGCCTAAGATTTTTCAAAAAATATTTATGTAAATTACATCCTTACTCCAATAAGTCTATCCTATTATAATAAAGTCACTCATTCTTTATCTTATGTTGAAATTATTTCATTGATCCTATAAAGATGTCCTATAAAATTTAGTATGTAAACACGTAGGATGCCTGACACAACTGCTGACTCTTAACTCATTACAATATGGAAGAACACTGAACAAAAAAGACATTCAGAGAAACTTTCTAATTTCCTCACCCCATTTCTTCAGTGTAACACCAAAACAAAGTATTCAGTGAAAATATTACATTTTATTTTCCTGGGTGGAAAAGGATTAACACTAAACAATTATGTCTGAAAGTTATTACTACATTATATATGTATGTGTGTGTGTGTGTGTGTGTGTGTGTGTGTGTGTATGTGTGTGAATGTTACTCAACTTCTTCTCTTTTAAAAGAAAGAAAAGCCTTTTTTATTTCCCTTCTCCTAAAGAGGTTGGTTGGCCTTCCTGGTTTAGTGAAATCCTACTTATCCACTTAAATGTGACTTTTTCTGGGAATTCTCAGATTACATATGGGCCCTCCCTCCATACCCTAATACCAAGTAGAAATAGTTTATCTTTCCCACATACATCACAACGTTATGTTTATACCATTGGGTACCTTTGCAATCTAATCTATACCTTCTCCATGTTCCCAAGACATAGCACAATATTTGGAATATGGTGGACACTTGCATGGATTTTGATAGAAGGTGTGGATGATCAATCCTCTCTTCCCCTTATTTCCTATTCGTTCTTTCTTAAAAAGTTTGCAGTGTGTCAACAGTGTGCTGCTATTTTAGGAGTTGGAGAATTGGGTCAGATCTGGGGATGTTGTTGGAGGAGAGACAGCCACTTGGCTTTCCCTTTCCATCTTCCTCAAGTTGCATTACTATTTTAATTATATCACAGAAATTTCCATTCCAATCTCAAAAACAATATTCTGTCAGCGTTACATTAGGAAAGGATTAATTTGAAACAATTCTTAAACATTACACTATCCTATAGCCATTTTCTCCAGGAATATCTTGGGGAATTTCTTTGACATTGTCATTATCTCCCCATGGTGACTTATAAGGCATGTTTAAGACAATTTTATATTAAAGGACAGAGATTCCAATAGAGGCAGCTGAACTTTTGTAAAGTTTATAGTGTGATTAATTCCTGGAGTTCTTCATTCTTCATCCCTTTAATTCATGCAATCACATTGAATATTCAAAGTATATATTGCTGTTTAAAGTCTTTCAAATACTCTGTAGACAGTCACATGGTAACTCAAAAGTAGAACTGATTAACATTTCCCGCCACAAGGATCCTTGAAGGAAACTGAAAACAAAAACTGTATCTTTGTTGAATCCAGTTTGCTTACATTTCAACACACATGACTCCACTTAACTGGCCATCACAGCAAAAGCCACAACACACACACACACACAGCAGCATGGAGCTAACCACACAACTCAACAGACAATGCAGACAAACTTGAGTATAAACCAAGATTTTTCTACCTCTTTTCATAACAGGTTAGTGCTGGCCCTCAGTGTTGGTGTACAGTTTTTATGGCATGGGAAAATAGGGATGTTTCTGCCCTATAAAAATAAATGTGTTGAAGGCTTTAGTTTGAGCTTACACAACGTCAGAAAGTTCCAAAGGCACTGGCACAATACAGAAAAAAAAAAAAAAAAGAACCCCACAAACAAATATATATCATCAAAACACATAGCAAGATACTAAGAAAACACTGGTAGGAAAACTACTCGTTTCCCAGATGGTTTATGCAACAGTTTTCAATACCTTCTTGAAAGATAAAAACATAAGAGAAGCATGCTAGAGGGTCTTTGGTGGGGGATTTCTTGGCACCAACCACCATTTATAGCAAGTCTTTGGCTTTAAGCTGCTCAATAGATCATTTTCTCCTTGCAGAGGTAGAAAGCACAGAACCCTCATTGTTCTTAATCTTTTAAGCCCAAGGAAGAGCTAAGGGAACAAGCATAGAAATGCATGCACTATCTTTAATAAAGAAAGGGACACATGGAATAAATATAAAAATATAAAGAATAATTTTTATTCCTTCATTTGATATATCATAATATACACTTCTTTCCAAACTTTAGCTCGATACATGGAGTTGTTCATGTGTGACATCTTTTTCTAATCTAGAAAGGGATGCGACAGGAAGATAAGTAGGAAACATGAAGTTCTGAATTTGAACAAAAGCAATACTTTTGCTATTACATCAAAGCATAGAAGGTGGACGTTGGGCTAGAAATAGGGAAATTGGAAAAATTTCACTGGACTTAATGATTTGTAATTCCTCAAAAAATGAAACTTACCACATTCTGTGCAAATTTCTCAAGAGATGTTCTGCGATCCATTGAGTTTCCAGACTTACATGTGTGGGGTGGGGAAGGGTGAAGGGAAATAAAGGAACATTAAAAATAAAAAAGGAAGAAAGCAAGGAAAACAGAGCAGAAAAAGACAGGATGATGAAATGATGCAATGCCAAATCCATGTTCTAAATCACAGGGCCCAAGAAGGTAGGAGAACTGCCGAGGAAGGCCTTGGGCCGTGGGCTCTGTTTTCATCAGTGCTAATGCCAAAAACTCTTCTGGTACAAACAAAATGGTGTGATCTCAAGCAAAATCAAATTAAGCTGAAATGAATATATATGTGAATTTTTTATACTGATATCTGCAAAAACTAAATAGTTGAAACTTTAGTGGCATATCTTCAGAAATCCTTCATAATTTTCCCTCGGGGCTAACTTTTGGTTGATAACATCATTAATTCTATGAAGCATTGCTGTCTAACACAACTTTCTGAAAAGATGGAAATATCATTTTTTGCTGTCCAGTACAGACGGCTCTTGCCGTGGTTACTGAGCACCTGAAATCTGGCTGGAGTTTTATGTAATTTTAATTAATTAAAATTAAAATTTAAACTGGGGTCCCATGTGGCTAGTAACTGCTGCACAACTAGAGAGTATCTATTTCCAATTTGCAAAGGCAATGGACTTTCAAATATCTCATTAGTCTAAATAGCTGTGATGACTTACACAAAATTATAATTTAATCCCAGAATTTCAAGAAGCTATGGACTATTTTAACATTAAAACATAACGAATGCTGTTGATGCTTGTGTCCAGATTTTCCATCCCCTATTGATGACATAAGGAGTTATGAACAGTGAGACTTTGATTGTAAACATTAATTGAATAATGAGGTCTACTACAATGCTTTCAAAATGTGCTTGGCTACCATCTTAAGTGTGTAAAATTCATTGTTAAGATATTAAGTGATTTAGCGTAAGTGCCAAATGAAAGTATGCAAAAGCGAACGTGACTACTTTGGCAGCTGTCATTGAAAAAAATGTGTCTATTTTTAGTCATGAGGTCTGTGTCTCAAAACATACATTCTAACTTACTAGACAAAAAGAAAACCCTTTTTTAAGTTTTTGACCTAAACTTTCTTTTCTTTATGGTAATTTTTGATTTTCTTAAACTAAGCATACAGAAGACTAACATGAAACATGAAAATAGCTTCTAATAAACTTGTAAAGCATGAACATTAGAAGAAACAAACAAAAAATAATACAGTAAGCAATAAACAAACAAAAACAAAAACAACTCAAATAGCCCTTATAAAATGCAAAGGTTTGAGGGAGGGTCTTGGAATATGTTCACTTACCATTTGTCCAATACCCTGGGCTCAGCAGAGGTAATTACTCCAAATAATTACTACTGAGAACTAGGTCAAAAAAGGTCACAAAGAACCAATACCTTTTTCTTTGCCTGTAGAAGTTCCTGATAGGCACTGGATCTTATAAAACGTGGGTAGGAATCACTTTTCATCAGTTTGTAAATGTGCTCCTAAAAAGAAATAACGATTGAGGTGCTTCTGTATTATTTCTCGGGAAAAATAAAATATAATGATAAGAATATTACATGGGGTTAAAGAACAAATCTGGTAGTTGCTAAAAATGGTGATGATAATGCTGATGGGAATACCTTATGTTTACAGGATACTTAGACCTTCAAATTCATTGTCTCATTCATGCCTCAGTGTTTAAATTTGTTTGAAAGTTACCAAGGAGGTAAACCACACCCAGCCATTTAAAAGAAATGGAATTTGGTTAAAAGAATGGCATAAAATAAATTCAGATCAAGCTACTGATTTATATAGATCAGCTGTGAATATAAATAAATCTGTTATCTCTTAAAATTACGCCAGTCCAAAAGCAGATGACGTGAAGTTCAAGACTGAGTCACCATCCTGGATACCTTTGGCCTCTGCATTTACTGGGAGGGGGCAGATGGCCCGGATGAATGATCGCTTTGGTACAAATTTTATGGAAAATTGTCATCCACAATCACTTTGGGTCAGAGCACAAGTCCAAAAATAAATTTTGTGCTATTTAATTGCTAAATCTCCAAATTGGTGTACTTTTGATGTATTCAGTGACAGATTAGGTAAATATTTATTTAATCATTCACCTCTATGAAGTCTGCAATGTTCTATTTTGATGAAGAATGTTGGTAGACAAAGAAGTCAGAGGAAAAATATATATTTATCCAATTCAGTGTTGGCCCAATTTAGAGAGATTCTGCTCTGTTCTACTGCAGCTCAGGAGAGCTTAAATGCTCCTTGATCTTCCTAGTGTAGTGAAATATCAGTTAAATATAGAGTTTTGAACTATTTGAGAGTGTCCTGGATGTCCCAATTTCTTTTTTGTTTGAAGAAAATACCTATTTTAAGAAATGACTTCATTTCTCTGGTTTGAAACACACCAGAAATAATTTGAAGTTACTGTAATCCACTTAGAGAAATTCAGGATTAAGCCTCAAGATAGCTCAAGGTTGATCTTCAAGAGTATGTTAAGTTTGGAACTGTTTCAGAATTTGTCTGGAAAGGGAGCAAGGTTTGGTTTTGGAGTTAAGTATTTTGGGATTCAGATCCTAACTTGCTCAAGATCTACCACTTACAGTGTAAATTTAGACCAATTTATTCACCTCTTTGATCCTTAATTTTCTAATCTACAAAATAACGTTGTTGTGAGGAGTAAAGAAATAATAAATCCCGAGTATGGGGTGTGCATAGTAAGTGCTCAAATATACTTCAGTACATACCGTGTACCCTTTTAAGAGTTTGCCTGTATTGGTTAATTTAATCTTGACAAAACCCTGATGAAGTTGGTAACCATTAATATGTCCATTTTATATATGTAGAAACTGAGGAATGGAGAAGGAAAGTACTTGCAGAGGTCTCAGAGCAGAGCTCAGATAAGAATCTAGGCCATTTAGCTCCAGATTTTTCTTTCTTACGACATTGCATCTCTTCTCAAACAATGGGAGAGATTCCTATTATTAATCTTTGAAGATAGGATTTCATAAAAATTACAAACAAAAAAACTAGAGTTAAATATCTGAGCTTAACTGAAAAAGAAACCTAGTGTCAGGTGCTAATGTTCTCTATAGAAAATATTTCTTATTCACCTTTTGGGGACTCCATTACGTAAGAATATTTTGAAATGACACAGATAACAAAGAAATGCTCTCTTTCAGGCCTCTGAAAGGACATTCCAAACATTTTACACATTGTTGGCTCTAGAAAAAGGCTTGACATTTTTACCTTGAACTGAAAGAAAGGAAAATTAGCAGAGACATGATCAGCAGAATTTCTGCCCTGCTCTGTGTCATGTGTCTGCAGAATGCAATTATTTCTACATAGGAGACCATGGCTAGACCACAAGGGATGGGTGTCTGGTTAGCTTTTAAATCCTTACTTTTCTACATAGTCACTAATTTCTTTAAACCAAAGCCAAGGAGAGATGTATTTTCTACAGAGAGTGGAAACAAGAAAGGACATATGCGTATCTTACTCTTCAGCTTCTATATTTTATTTTGGGAGTGCTATTAATTAAAAAATAAGATAATTTTTAGAGTTAATATTCTTCTTCAAAAGAACTTTAAGAGATCACAAAGTATGCATGTTTTGACTTAAAAGCCAACTTCAACTCATCATTAGGAAATGCTATCCTCTCATTACATGTGTATTTTTCTTCTTGAACACCAATATTTTTTTGAGAGAAAGCAGAAATCCAAATTGTTTCTAAGAAGGCAGCTAAGATCCAGTTTACAAAAAGAACACTACAAAATTTGTCTGAGGAAGTTAAAATAAATTTCTTTTTTTTCTTTCCACAGACTAAAAAATTAACTTGAACGATTAATCGATACCTGAATCTACTATTTCTTTTTTTCATCAGAAACAGAACTGGTTTGAATTTGACATAATTTTAAGCTAATTCAGTTCAGACAATTTGTTATAATGAATAATTTAGGAATGTCAAAAGTTTTTGAACTTCCATACTGAAGACACCTTAAAGATTTTAAACATATGTTTCCGACTCGGGGTCATTATTACATAGGGTCTGCTCACATATTGGGGGACAAAGAGGAGAAAATGAAGTAAAAGTTTTCAAATATTTCAAACATGCCCCCTTAGGAAATTCTTATATAAAAACACTCAAATTCAGAAAACATTTCCGGGCTTTAAAAAACTATTCACTTTAAAGTGTCTTTGTTGTTTTCCAGATCAGTTAGAGTATTTTACAGTTACCTAAATTGGAAATGTTAGAAATAGCTGCCAATTATAACGAAAATAAAACTAAAGTATCTCAACTGGCAACTTCTCAAGAACACAACTGCGACATGAGGGCCACCCGCGTACCAACCTGAGCGTCTTCGAATGTGTATCGCCCCGGTTCCTTCACGTTCTGTGTGGTTTTGTCATAACTCTTAGAATCCAAGTTAATGGCACTGGGAGCTCCCGGAGCCAGAAATTCTTGCCATATTTCCTGGACTCGCAAGGGCACTTCTTTAATCGGCCTTTTCTTGAGGTCCTCCACTGCCAGCCAGAACCTATGCCACATGTGACACCAAGGAGTTACTCGGAGGGCTCATACTCTGAACCTTCTCATGATATTTACTGATCGCACAGCTCATCGTGAGGCCTAACAGCTAACTCACTTTCTCTGAGGGCTTCCAATGTCAGACCTACACTGATCTTTTTACCCATTAGTTGTATTTAAAGGTATAAAATTCTTCACAAGAAAAATAGTCTCGTTTAAGTGTTGG